TCCACCACACTGTGGAGCAAAAGTTTCAGTGCTGTCTACTAATATGATTATGTTTCCAGGCGGGAGATCATTTAATGTCATATTTTAATTATTTACACCTACAAAATTACAGCCATGTGACTTCATGTTGACAGTAATTAATTTCCGGATCCTTTTTTTTTTTTCTTTTTTTTTTTAAACCGGCTGCATATGTTTGAGGGCACATCATAGAGATCATTAATCAAGAGCCACAGCACTGGGTCACAACATTCACATCATTTGCAAATGCCACGGTCTGTGGGCTACCAAAGTGTTCCCTCATTTACATACTGACAACAAGACTCTCCTCCATTTTCTTGCCCTGAGAACCTGCACAAACCCAGCAACACTGACTTTTTTCTTTCTTTTTTTTTACCTTCTTCACCAGCCACAGGTCATCACTCATTGTTCTTCTGTTTACCATTTCATTTCTTCCTGTTCCTCATCACTCATCTTTGCCAGAGTACAATATTTCACCCGTCCGCCAGACAAATATATGAAGAAAAAAAAAAACCAAACAAAAATACCCGGTGCCTGAGCCACCCACAGATACCCATTTGCCACAGCTACACAAAGAGGAAAAATAATAGCTTCATACTTTAATACTCTCCCACCTCTTTCGTATCTCCGCTCCTCCTACACCCTCCACTGAATTTGAATGAGATTTTGCATAATCACTAAGTGAATGTGAGGGAATTTGTCTCGCAACATTGGTGCACAAGCGTATTGGCCTTTTATAGGATTTCACACCACATGCATAATGCAGGGACAGCGATTTGTGACTTACATGAGTTATGTAACGTGTGTCAGCGTGAGTGGGTGATTGAAGTTCTTCAAAAAAAAATCTTTCAAAGAGGATGTTTTTATTTATTTTTTTACATTTTCCTTTTAAAATTAATGTTTTCGTCAGGGTTTAGTTTTAAAGGCGGGGAATCTGGGACGTATCAGAATTTCAAGTGAGGGTCTTCTCTTCTCTTCCTAAATGCATAATTGAGTCGTTTGACAGTTTTCCCCGCGTTGCATTTGGATGTCAGCCACTTCTGGCAATGATGCAACACTGTCACTTTTCATCTGGCCCACGTGTGTGTGCTGAATTTGGCCGACACTAACAGATCATTTGGCTGATATTTGTTGCAGAATTCTTTTGATTCTTGTCATTTAATAGACCACAGTTTTGATTTCCATGACAAAAACATGGTGTGAATTCAATGGGAAATATTACCTTTTTTATGAATATGTGAATTTTGGTTCCCCCTACTGACAGAAATGTGACACACGAACACTCTAGTAGACTGACAGAATTTTACCAAAAAGTCAAAACTGTCCAGGAAAACAAATGTCCTGAACGTTGAGCAGCAGTGTTTTGGACAATAACAATTGTTCATACTTTATGAGGAAATGACTCTGTAGACAGAGGAACCTCTTCTACTGTAAGAATGAATGTTCTAATGTCTTGATAATATTCAGCACTAACCTTTTTTATATGCAGTCCATCTAAGATGCCAATATCTGCTGCAGAGTTGTGCTGCTCTGACTAATGTGGCAGCTCTGGCGGTGCCAGCAATAACTTCTAACTCCTTCTTTCCCTTCCTCACCATCTGCAGCGGTCGTTCTGCAGTGCCATGATGGACGAGCTGCGCGTCTCTCTGAAGTGCCAGCGCCGTCTCAAACAAAAGCCTCAGCCTCCTGTCATCGTCAAGACGGAGGAGGTCATTAACATGCACACGTTTAACGACAGGAGGCTCCCGGGGAAGGAAACCATGGCATGAGCACCGAGTCAAACCCCGAAACTCTGCCCCTCGGTGGGAACTACACGGAGGGGAGAGACTGGGTGGAAGGACTGCTGACTTAAAGACAAACTGAAGTTAGTGGTCCAAACAGGATTCCTTTTGAACCTTCTTGCTTACGTAGACAGATGTTTCCTGTGGAAATACAGATGCCTGAGCAGTGTCACCTCACTGTGACGTCCACGTTTTGACGAGGGAAACCAAGAAGACAACAGGACCTTCCGGGGGGGGAGGGGGGGTTGTGCCTGCGGAGGGTGTAGATGGTAATGATCCGAGCCGGTGTGGGCGTAAAACACGAGTGTGTTTACAACCAACACACACACACACGTGCAGTAAATATCGTATATAAGAAGATGTGTGCGTCTGACACATGAAATGTGTGCAGATCGAGGAAAATTCTATTGTGACTGTGAGACCAGATGTAGTTTTTCTCTGTCGATGTCAATGCCCTTTGTCTTATCTCTCTCTCTCTCCCTCTCTCTCTTTATGTGTGTGCGTGGGGGTCGGCGCGTGTCAGCCCCTCCCCTTCTGTGTTTCCTCTAAGACGATTGGAACAAACTCCTATTACCAGTAAAACCAACAGTAGACCGATCCAAAATGGTTTCCCATGAACTGATGTGTGAAGTCGACGACGTTTAGTTTGAATCATCTGTACCAACGCACCGTAGTTACATCATTTCTCTTCTGTCAGGCCTTTCTCGTGCCAAAGTTCTAACATTGTACAGGAACTTCTCATCCAACATCAACGTCCTTTCATAGACACACACACACACACACACACACACACCTCCTGCAGCTTTCACTCTGTATCAGTTGTTTAAAAAAAAATTCCAGTATTTCTACAAAGATGTTTGTTTTTTTGTACAACAAAAATAACTTTTGTAGTACTTTGTATCATTGTAGCCCCACCCTGTGGTTGAAAATGTAGCAGATGCCAAATCAGCCCTCAAACTCTGACACCTGGTGGCTATTCCTGGGGCGTTGGAGTGTGGGGTTCATAATTCTCAGTCTTTTTTTCCCCATCACTCTCCCATTGGAGTCATCCCAGCTGTACATGATGTCTGGAGACAATGTGTGGTGGAATCTGGTGGCCCAAGAAAATGCAACGCAAAAGTGGTGAGTCACTACATGAATCACAACTCTCTGCAAAGTCTTTCTGACAGGTGTGGTGAAGCCGGCGATAGCTGTTATGACTCAGCCGGAAAAACAGAGTAAAATATCAAACCGTGGCTGAGGATGAAGTGGAAATACCCACTTACACTCGGAGAAAAGTATAATAACGTGTTCATCTGACTGAAACTTAGGTTTCAAAATATTTCTACATGTTAGCCTAACTGAAATAGTACAAGTCCAGATCACAACCAGGTACTGTAGTACAATGTACTGTATGTTGAACGTAAATTATTACGAGGCAGCAGACTTGTAATAAATGATTAAAACACTTTAAATTGTCTAAATAAATAAAGTGGTTCTTCTTGGGATTACTGTAATTGCTGCTAGCTTTCTTTAGGTTTATTAGCCACCAGCTAATTAGTATTTGCAAAACTCATCATGTAAGCATGATTTATTTGGTTGCAAAAACCTTTTCTGCAAACATGAGCAAACAAAACCAATGAATCTGTGAACTCATCATGTAAGCATGATTTATTTGGACCTAAGTTACTTCAAAGCATCACATTTGATCGTGGAAGTTATAGTTTTAGGTTTTACATTTTTTTAATCCAAATATCAACTTTAGACAACAAGCTAACAACTGCAACGTTACTAGAGTCTGTCCTGCTGCTACTAACCAACAGCTTTGATGCATTTAATATAATTTAGGGCAGTAAAAATGTATAGCGCCCCCTGTAGGAGACGGTAGGGGAGCTACATGTTGGTGTGTTTACCAATAATTAACTTTAAAATAGTGCATATTGTACCTTTAAGATACAGCCAGTGTTGGGTTAAGCTGTTCTATGGAACCTGGATCTGTTAGTCCGTCGTGGACTCGTGGTCAGTGCTGACAGATTTCTCCACTCGTTGTCTCCAAACATCCCCGTCACTCATGGCTCCGCGCCTCATACTGTCTGTTATCTGTTCCATCACGTGTAATAAGAAGCAGACTTCAGTACAGACACAGTACAGACGTCACGGCCCCTGTTTACACATTTACTGTTTTCCTCCGGGTACAGCAGGAGTTCTGAGGATAAATCTAAAAAGAGAATCTCCCTCAGTGGCCAGTGATAGTGATGACAGTCGTGCTGTTCAATGACTGGAGCCAACGACTCATTCAAAGTGACCACTTTACTCAGACTGGGACTGGCTGGCATCCTACCAACGTTGCTTGTCAATTTCCAGCGACTGGTCTGAGCAGAGATGAGTGAATACCTGGACACAGTTATTAGAGGTGGTTACAAAGGTTTTGTTGTCCTGTTGAAAAATTTGATTTCACTGATGCAAGGTTTTACAAAAAAAAAATGTCATTAAAAATGTTATAATTGTACTTTTGTTCTGTGTTCTTTCCAAACCACTAACTTGTGTCTTTGGTATCAACAGAGGAAGTAGACGAGGCCTCCTGCTCTGCTGGGATCTCATTTAGGAGTGCGTCAATACCATCAAGTACAATGATGAGCAGGACCATTCTGTCTTGCCGTATTCTTGAGATGTCAGGCTCTTCCTATTGATTAAATGCCCTGAGACGTGATTTGTATTATCTAAATGAATACATTAGGTAATTGCTAAATTGTTAATCAAATCAGGAGCGTGGGGTTTGTTTCAGCGGCTGTTTTACTGCCCCCCTCCCCCCCTGCAGGTTGTGTAGAATTTCTCAAAATATGGCTCCATGATCACTGGTGCTGTAAGTACAGTTCACAATAATACACAGGAGACTCCACCGCCTGACTCATGGATAGGAGAGGAGAGCGCTGCGGCCCCCTTTTTCTGCCTCTCAGATTCTTCATTGTTTATTGTTACCCCCTCCTCCCTTCCCCCCCCCCACTCCTCTGCAGGCTTTGTGCAGTGCAGACGTCTCTCTCCTTGTTTCTCACCAGATCTTTGTGTTTTCCCGACTTCTTAGAATTCTAAATACACCTGTTTTCTCAGAGCGACCTCTGCTGCCACTACATTAATGGCCGACCTGTCTGCCCTCCAGATTGACAGAGAAGGTCGCAGCCTACTTTGGCGTGCTCAGTGGACACCGTTTAGGCTGTCACACTTATTTCCATCATATTAAGTCTTCCTCCTACTTTTTCTAAGTGCTCCTCCGGACGGTATCCTTACATAACATCCTGTTCATTAGGCAATTAATGGCCAGGGTTTTTGATGTGACCAGAAAATTGCTCTCTGAATGTGACTTTGGGTTGTCATACAGATATTATGGGCTAATAGTACCTGCCAGAGAAGGTTTTGTGGAGGAGAAAAGGCATTTCACTGCTCATTTCACCCAGAGTTTAATAATTCAGGGTTATTAGCGTATGAATCATAAACGCCCACTCGAAACTTGTAATATGAAGTTGTCTTTGTCCATGTCAGTTTGCTTAAGGATTTAAAAATGTCAGGTATTAAATGTGGTTATTCAGCTCTTTGCAAATTATATATTTTAAAGATAATGATGTCTGTTAACATGTCAAAGGAAGAGAAGTAATGTCCCCACTGGACGAGGACACAGTCAATTGGCCATAATTGACAAAGTGTTGTTGTTGATTTTCATCACTTTGTGTGTCCAAAATATACTTGCAAATATAATGCATCAGGAACTGGTTCTTTAAGACGGCGAACACTTTTTCATCTCCAACATTATTTTAATTTGACATTAGATACGATGCACCAATAATACCTAATATAATAATTCATATTCAATGTAAACTTTTGTATCTACTTTTTTTTTTTACAAAATATAAAAATCTAATGTCGAATTTTTTTCAGAATTTTCTGACATGGGCTTCATGCTGTCGGTGTTTTGTCAACTAGTGGAGCATATCAACAAAAGCAGCAGCAATCTGGGAGCCTAATGTTCCACCTGCTGCTGAAGATGGTGGTGATGTCACACCCGTGGAATTTTCTCTCTCCTTTCTAGGAATTGCTGTGTGTGAAATGGGAATTCCTGGTGGAATTGCCTGAAAAACGGGAGCTGTAGTGGCTGAGCGGCTCCGGTGGACGGGCAGGGAGGAGGGCAGCTATAGGCAGTGATGTTGTTGTTTGAAAAGTGATGGTGATTTGATACGCATGAAGATATAGGCCAGCAGTAACGTGTGTCGGCACAGAGATGGCTCACCAGGAGAAAGAGAGGGGAGGAGAGGAGAGGGGAGGAGACGGGAGAAGAGGAGAGCGGAGGAGGTCAACAGGGACTGGTTGCA